TTTTTTTTTGGTAGTCTCTGGGGTTCTATTAATCTAGGCGAAGATTAGCCATAGCAGGTGAGGCAAGTCACCCTTTTTCCTTGCCACAGGTCATTGGTTATAAAATGAAGTATTCTATGGGTTGAGATGTTTTTTGTTTTTTGAGACAGGGTCTTTCTATGTAGTTTAGACTGGCCTTGAACTTGGAGCAATCCTGCGTCAGCCCTCCTGAGGGCTGGCACTACAGGTGTGTGCCACTATGCCTGGTTTTAGAGCTTTTAATTTATTTATTTGTGCTACATGCTAGGATAATTTGTAAAGTATGATCACATATATGCCGGTTAGAAAAATGGATTTAACGGGCCAGGGATTTATCTCTGGTTCTACCAACTGCCTCTCAAGTACAAGGTCCAAAGTTCAATCCCTGCTTACCCCCCAAAAAAGGAAAAGAAAAAAAAAATGGATTAACTTTAAGTCTGTATGGGGACATTTTTCCTATTTGTCTCCTCACCTAGTTCCCTCAAACTGTAATATTTCCATCTTGCAGTCTAATACTTTATTCTCCCATTCGTTTTATTCTATTTATTTTTTGGAGACAGGTTTTGCTGTGTAGTTGGGGCTAGCCTTGAGCGTTGGGATTACAGTGTGCACCAACCTGCCCAGAGATGCTAATCATTCTTTTTTTGGTTTTGTTTTTAATTTGTTTTTAGTTTTTTGAGATGGTCCCGTCATGTGGTTCAGACTGGTCTTGAACTCACTGTGAGTCCAAGTGTTAGGATTATAGGTGTATACTACCGTGTCTCTTTTTCTTCTCTCCTGTCTGCTGTTATTGAGGATTGAACCCAGGGCCTTGTGCATGCTTGGCAAGCACTCTTATCACTGAGCTACATCTCAGGCTCTCTTTTGTACATTACTAACATCAGCTTTACTAGTTGGAAAGAGAGCTCATAGGCTTTGGGCACTTGAATTGTCTAACGTATGGCATGAGTGCCACAGCGAGCTATTTGTATTTTTGGAAGCTCTGAAAGTTTTGGCATCACTGCTCTAGGTAGGGTCTGATCTACCACTCCTTGTTTGGGTGAACTTGGGCAGGTAACTGATGTTTTTGAGCTTCAGTTTTAGCTCTCAAATTCGATTACCTATCTCAGAGTGGTTTTGTAGATAAATACAGTAATATATATGATGAGCCTAAAACTGTCAGTTTTGGTTGAATATACTTAATCATGATCAGTTTTCTTCCTGCTCAAAATGTTTTTTTTTTTTTTCTTTCTTTCTTAGACTTCCTTTCCTTTCCCTGAAAACGTTTGGAAAAATCTTTGGATCCTTCCTCCCATCTATTTAAGCAGTGGTTCTGCCCTCTGTTTCGTTCTGGGTATCTGTGGTTTCAACCTTAAACTTGTTCATGTTTCTGTTAGAACTTCTAACATCTGCCTGAGTGAGACGGAGACTTATGTGGCATGGACGTAGTAGAGGGTTTTTCCTGTTAAATATTTTGCTTTCATCTAAAAAACTCTTTCCTGCATATTAGAAGTCATGGTTAGGATTCTCTTGGCTAGCATCCTTTACAGTAGACATTGTGAAACACTGTTGTTTAAATCTATCACACAGAGGAAAAAAAAATCTTATCACACAGGCAGAGAACAGATGCACCAGTTGGAAATTAGTGCTTTTATTATTGTTGTTTTTTAGGTACTGGGGATCGAACTCGGGCCCTTGTGCTTGCAAGGCAGGCAGCAGAAACCGCTGAGCCAAATCCCTGGCCCCAAATTAGTGTTTTAATAACATGAAATTAGTTTTTGGAGTACTCAGATTTTACATGTTTATATATATAAATCAGTTATGTCAAAGAAATTAATGAGGAAAGTTGAAATTGATAAAGCTCTCCTAAATATTATTCCCTTTCAAGTGCGTAAAAATTCATTTTGATAGAATACTTTGGTCTTCCTCCTGAGATTATAGTTGGAAAACTCTAACCTACAATGTACTTGCTCCTAAATTAGTTTCCTCCCCTCTAAATTCCACATAATTCGTCTTTCATGGGTTCAACTTTCTAGTTTTTCATTTTCTTGGCATAACTCTATAATCATTCACCCATCAAATCATTTTTTTTTTAAGATTTACTTTTTTTTTAAACTACATTGGATGTTTTTTTCTTCCTAAACATCTCAGAACCCATTCTCCCTTTTTTCCTCTGCTCTCTGCATTTCTTTTTTCTTTTTTCTGATACTGGGGATAGAACTCTAGACCTTAGCACTTGTGAAGCAGGCAGTAGAACCACTGAGCTAAATCCCTGGCCTATGCTCTCTGCGTTTCTAACACCGTGTCTCTTGGACTGCTGTAACAGTTTTCCAAGATCTCTTCCTGCCTTTGGTCTTACTCTGGACCCTTTCAGTTTGTTGCCACACTGCTGTGAGTAATCTTTCTGAATCACACATCTGTCAAGTCCACTGTTTGGAAGCCCGTTAGTGACCTGTATTACACACATCATTAAATGCAGTCTAGAATGTTGGACAAGGCTTGGGAATGGTATCTTCCTCCTCTCCTCAGTGCTTTCCCTTCTGAGCCTTTTTTTTGGCGGGGGGGTACAGGAGATCAAACTCAGGACTTATGCTTGCAAGGCAGGTGCGATTCCACTAAACCCCTGGCCATGTTCTGAGCTTCTGTACCATGTTAAATTACTCTAGCTGTAGTTCTAAAAGAGTGCCGCGTTCTTCCACGCCTCCATGGGCTTAAATGCACTGTCCAGAAGGTTCTTGTCTTGGTGAGTTCTTCCTAAAGATTCAGCAGCGTCGCAGTCTTTGTTTTCTTTCTCAGTAAAGTTCACGTTTCCCTTCTCTGATCTCCTACCTAGAGTTTTGTAGTGGTGTCCTCCTGCTGTGATTTACATACTTCATTTTCTATCCTCACTTTAGTGTGAGCTTCCTGTGATCAAAGATTGGCTTTTAAAGAATTTTAGCAAATTCTTCATAAATATCGCATGAATGGGTCTGATAGAAAATGTTGGATTGTTTCTATTTAAAGGAGAGTTAATAATGTTTCATGTAAAGTTTTTTGTTAATATTTAATCTTTTGTTCTAAAGATGGTAGAACCGGGGCAAGATTTGCTGCTTGCTGCTTTGAGTGAGAGTGGAATTAGCCCGAATGACCTCTTTGATATCGATGGGGATGTGGGCTTTGCAACTCCAACCCCAACCCCTGCACTTCAGCAGGTAAGAGTTTCCTAAAGCCTTTGTGAAACAGTAGGGCTTTTTCTTAATTTTTAATTCCCATGTATAGAAACATATTATACCTTAATTTTAAATATGGATGTGAATGTTATTCTAATGTTGAGTATTTGTCTTCATGAGGTAGAAGATATTTGCAATGTTTTGATATGATTATATATAAACATAAGATAGTAATTGTTATAGAATGGGTTTGCCCCTTTGGCTTGCCCTGGGCTGTATTGAGTGAAGAGGAATTGTCTTGGGTTGCATATAAAATACGTGATATAGTCGATGTGAGTAAGTAAGTAACAAACATTTCTCTTCATTATTTATTTAATCTTTATAGTACTGCTGGGGATTTAGTTCAGTGGTTCCGCTGCCTGCCTCACAAGCACAAGGACCCAACCCAAGTTCAATCACCGGTATCCGCCCCCCCCCAAATTTTTTTAAAGTACTGAGAATTGAGCTATATCCCCAGACCTTTTTATTTCTCTTGGGAGAAGGCCTCACTAATGTGCCCAGGCTGAGCTTGAGCTTGCAGTCCTTTTGCCCTGACTTAGCCTCCCAGAACTCTGGATTTATAGTGCCATTACTCCCAGTTTTTTAAAAATTATTAAATTATTTTATGAAATAACACAAGCCTAAGTTTAATAATCAAATAAGGAAATTTTACACATCTAACAATAAAACACCTATCTTCCCAGGCATACATATGTGGGCAGGTGGAAACACTATTACCTGACAAGCTCATGAAACATCTGATACACATCCCCTTCACCTGGGCCCTGTGTGGCAGGTGCAGGAGGTGGAGCTAGTGGTACATTGTGCCCACCTCCACAACATTCTGTTGTTTTGTACAGGTCCTGAACTCAAGTGCTGCATAAGCAGGTCATTACTGTCATGGACAATCACACGATAATGTTAACAGCTTACAATATTGTGGGGCTGCATTACTACCTATGCAGAGCTGCAGCCACAGGTTGGACACACTTGATTTATAAGAGTTTTGGTGAGAGGATCATTATCTCCTTTATGGTTGTCAGGATATTTTTCTTTAACTTCACTATATGTATTATCTAAAAGGAAAAATAAAATTCTGATTATTAGCATAATTTTGCAGAGATTTTAGCCTTGTAAAGATTATCATACAGTGGTACCTCGGTTCGTGAATTTTAAGTTGTTTCATGATTCGGAAAAAATGGCTATGTTTGTATTTGTGGAAAGGATGACTGTAGTCACCTGATGGAGTTTGCAAATGAGCAAAATTTTAGCTGGTTGTGGTGGCACACACCTATAATCCTAACACTCTGGAGGATAAAGCAGGAGGATCACCTTGAGTTTGGGGCCAGCCTGAACTGTGTAGCAAGACCCTGCCTGTCTCAAAAAGCAAAACAAACCCCCAAACCCCAAAATAAAACAAATACAATCTTGTCAAAGGTTTCTGTTTGCAATTCCAATTGTTTGCAAACAAAAGCATTCAAGAATGGAGGTACCTCTGGATCTGGTATTGGTGATTTCATATTTTAGTTTGGATGTAAAGTTGACTTTTTATTTTTTGTGATGCTGGGGATTTGAATTTAGGACCTTGCCCATGCTAGATAAATGTTTTACCATTGAGCTACAGCCTTAGTCCAGATTTTCTTTTTTGAGGCAGGGTCTCTGTATGTAGTTCCAGCTGGCCTTGGGCTCACTGTGTCAGCCAGGCTGGCCTGAAACACACAACACTCCTCCAGCTTCAGCCTCCTGAATGCTGGGATTTCAGGTGTGTGCCACTATGCCCCGTTGATTTTTTTATAAAAAATAATAAAATAATTGCAACTCTTGTTCTGGGAACAGAATTCACTGTTGTTGTCTCTGTTTCTTTCCCTGATGATTTCTCTCCAGTCGGTGCCACTTGGTGCATTAGAACTAGGTTTGGAGGCAGAAGCCACAGTTACTGTTAAACAAGAAACAGAGATGGTACCCACTCCTGCGCTGTTAAATGTGAGGGTAAGAATTTTTCAGATTTGGCATTGCTAAAATAGCTCAAGATTACAACAGAAAAGTAGCCTTTCAGTAAGAAATAGTTTTATCTTCTTAGGTCTGCTTTTTGCTACTTTCCTGATAATCGTACCGTTGTCTCATATTTTGATAAAAGTTTCACTCTTATGCTACTTAATGCTGTTAAAAGTTAATTGGGACAAAAGTTTTTTTAGCTTATTGCACATAATACAAAATTATGATGTAAACATGAAATATCCATCCTATTTTCACTTTTGTATATTAATATGTATATTTTTTAATGTCATTGTAATTGGGCTTTTCATACAGGGTTCCCCTGACTTTACCTTAAGCATAGCTATTAGCTGATGTCTAGTGGTGTAAAATTACTGTACATACTTTTTGTTAAAATTTGTTAATTTAGGGCTGGGGATTTAGCTCAGTGGTTACACCACTGTCTCACAAGTGCAAGGGCCTGAGTTCGATTCCAGGTACCAAAAAAATTTTTTTTGTTAATTTAGTTGGCTATGGTGTTATAGCCCCGAGTTCCAGCACTCAGGAAGCTGAGGCAAGAGGATTTCTGTGAGTTTGAGTCCAGCCTGCACTACATACTAAGACCCTGTCTCAAAAAACCACACAAAAGTTTTTTTGATAATTTGTGTTAAGGTATTTAAATATGATAAGCAGAAAGCTAGAAAATTTTTATAGGAGGGCATGGAGAAATAAACAGTTTAAGGAAGAAAGTAAATAAAAATAGATTTAAGTTTATAGAAGTATCTCAGTTGTAATTACAGTGAACCTTGACTTTGTTGCTGTTGTCTGTTTCTTCCCACTCCACCTTACCCACCAATGAAAAAGAAAACGTTTTGTGGCTCTATTTTAGTTCCTGTAGCACTCACATTATTATCAATATTTGTAGTTTACTTGACTGGGTTGTTTTTGTCTTTTAAGTTCTAAATTTGGTGTATCCTGTATGGTAGCAAGCAGAGCATTGACAGAAAGATTTTTTGTTTTGAGACAGGGTTTCACTGTGTAGTTCAGGGTGGCCTTGAACTCACTATGTATCTCAGGCTGGCCTCAAACTCATGGCGATCCTCCTGCCTCAGCCTCCTGACTGCTGGAATTACAGGCATTCGCCACTACACCCAGCTAGGAGTCACATAATATTAAAGCCAGAAAATAGGCTTCAAGGGAATTTAGGCCTGCAGTTGCTTAAGTGACTGGCTCAGAATTGTCTAGTTGGTGTGGTACCAGCATTTGAAATTCTTTTTTTTTTCTTGGCAGTACTGGGGGGGTCAAACTCAGGACCTTGTGCTTGCCAGGCAGGCATGGCACCACTGAGCTATATCTTGCTTTTGAGAAGCATGGTGGTGCACACCTAGAATCCTAGCACTCAGGAGGCTGAGGCAGGTGGATCACCATGAGTTCTAGGACAGCCTGGACCACAAAACAAGACCCTGTCTCAAAAAACCAAAAAGCAATTCTTCTTGTTACCAATTATTATTTAGGATTACTAGACCTAGCCGTTTGCTTGGGATAGCTTCCATTTATGCTTTTGACTTTAATAGTTGTATGAAATATCACACTAATATCTACTTTGTTTCTTTCAAAGTGGGGTTGTAACTTGGTAATTTTTGTTTGTAAGGTTTTGTTTTTGGTACCGGGGATTGAACTCCGGTCTTTGCACTTGCGAGGCAGATGCTGGTACCACTGAGCTAAATCCCTGGCCCTGTAATTTGGTAATTTATCACTAATCATACTAGACCTAGAGACAGTACTGGGCTGGGGATTTAGGAAGAATAAAATCCATTTTAGATTTGTTAATGCCCATTAAGTTTATGGATATAGACTGCATTGGAGAAGGAAACATTTTTTGTGTGTAAAGAATTTTGATTGTTTTGTTTTGTTTTGTCTTGTTCCCTAGCAGCAGCCTCCATCTACTACAACATTTGTGTTGAATCAAATAAATCAACTTCCAACCCTGGGATCTACAATTGTAATGACTAAAACACCACCTGTAACAACTAACAGGCAGACCATCACTTTAACAAAATTTATCCAGACTACTGCAAACACCCACCCTTCGGTCTCAGCACCAGCATTGCGGAACACCGTGACCTCTGCACCTTCGAAAGACCAGGTTCAGCTAAAGGATCTACTAAAAAATAATAGCCTGAATGAACTCATGAAGCTGAAGCCACCTGCTAATATTGCTCAGCCAGTTGCAACTGCAGCTAGTAAGTCTTTTTGGTTACAGTAGCAGAAATCTTGTCTTTTGTAAACTATGTCACAGTCTTTTGATGGTTTCCTTGTGTCTTAAAAGAGCTGGGCATGAAAGAGCCATTGCTTGCCTTACTTTGCGTTCTTACAGTATGTACCCAGTTCAAGGACAGTATGTACCCAGTTCAAGGGAAGCAGAGAGATAGAGGCATTGGTGGAGCATTTTGCTTTGAAATGATGTATTTGGGATATTGAGTAGCTGTCATGATATCATCTCAGTTTTATTTATTTTTATTTTTATTTTTATTTTTTGGTATCGGGGATTGAACTCGGGTCTTTGCGCTTGCAAGGCAGGCCACCAAACCGCTGAGCTAAATCCCCGGCCCTCATCTCAGTTTTATATGAGTAACCAGTTAGTGTATTTTTTGATCCTTTAAATCAATTTTTTATACTTTCTTTTTTTTTTTAAGACAGGGTCTCACTATGTAGTTGAGACTGACCTGGAACTCACTACATAGCCCAGGTTGGGCTTGAACTCACAGTGGTCCTCCTGCCTCAGCCTCCCGAGTGCTGGGATTACAGGTGTGTGCCACCACTCCTGACTAATTTTTTATACTTTCTTTGCCTGTCAATCACATAAAGATCTTGCTCAAAAGCAAAATCTGATGAGGATGGGGCAGAAACTTCTGCATCTCTAAAAAAGCTCTCCAGAGGTATTTTTGCTGATAGTCTTTGTTTTGTTTTGTTTTGTTTTTTTCTCTGACAGGGTCTTGCTATGCAGTTCAGGCTGGCCTTGAACTCACTGTGTAGCCTAGGATGGCCTCATATTTATGGTGATCCTCCTGCCTCAGTCTCCCCAGTGCTGAGATCACAGGCCTTTGCCACCACACCCAGTTCCTTTTATTATTGTGCCTGAGTTTCCCTGAGTCTTTGTGTTGCCAGGCTGGGCTTGAACTTGTGATCCTCTTCCTGTAGCCTCCCAAAGTGCTTGGATTACAAGTGTGTGCCACCTACCCAGCCCTTTCACTCCTTTAAACTGTACAATTTGCTGGTTTGGCAGTCACAGCAGTAATTCTATCACTGTGGGTGGCTCAAGCAGGATTGTAAGCTGAAGCCCAGCCTAGATGATTTAGGGAGACCCTGCCTCAGATTAAAAAAAAGAAAAATACGGGTATGTATCTCATTGTGAAGGCTCTGGGTTCATTCCCCACTGCCTTGAGCTTCATCCCTATCCCTCTTTATTTATTTTTATTATTTATTTATTTATTTTGTTTTTTTAAGACAGGGTCTCTATGTAGTTGAGTCTGACCTGGAACTATGTAGCCCAGGCTGGTCTCGAACTCCTAGCAATCCTCCTGCTTCAGCCTCCTGAGTGCTGGGATTACAGGTGTGCGCCACCATGCCCGGTTTATTTTTGAGGGTCTCTCTGAGTTGTCCAGGCTGAAACTGAATTTGAGATCTTTCTGCCTCAGCCTGCTGAGTGCTAGGGATAACAGGTGTGTTCCACCACAGCCGCCATCACAATTTTAGACTGAAACAAGAGCAGCTTATAAGAGGGAGAATCTTCCCTTCTCTCTTCCTTTGAGTTAAGAGTCCTTGAATCCCTGTTTCTAGCAGTCCTATCGGCAGTATTTTGGGAGACAGTAATTCTGACCCCAGTTATCCTTTTTCTTGTGTGTTTTATTTCACAGTTTTAGCATGCAGATGAATGTTCGTTGTTTTTAATTTTTTGGTCAGTTATGTTGGAATTTTTTGAAATTTTGGGATCAAGGGACTAGAATGAGGTTACAGTGAGCTCTAAGGGGAGTCCTGTTCCTGACGGTTTACATGGATATGTGCATACCACTGTCAAGGCTCAGGGAATGAAGTGCTAGACTTTGGATTTTGTTTTTGTGTATGGGTGGTTGTTGTTTTTTTTTTGTTTTGTTTTGTTTTGGGTACCAGTTATAGAATTTGGGACCTGGGGCTTGCGAGGCAGGCGGTGGCATTACTGGGCCCCTGTGTGTGTTTTTTGAGATAGGGTATCGCTTTATAATTAAGGCTGGCCTTGAACTCATTTTGTAGCCCACACTGGCTTTGAATTCATGGTGATCCTCCTGCCTCAGCCTCTGGAATGCTGGGATTATAGCACTATCACAGCTGGCCATGTGATAGACTTAGGATAGACATTTTGTCCTTCCAAAGAACTTGCTTATTTTCCTAATTGTGGGAGATAGTTTTTTTTTTTTTTTTGTACTGGGAATCGAACTTGGGTCCTTGCGCTTGCGAGGCAGGCGGCAGAACCACTGAGCTAAATCCCGGGTGGAGATAGGTTTTAATACCTGCTTTGGACAGTATATAAATCTGTGGCAGAATTGATTGCTTTGAAGTAGTAATGTTCTTTTATAGAGTTTGGGGCCTTTGGATGGAATGAGTGAGAAATGACTACCTGTGGTGACAGATGTAATTATAAATTTCAGATAATCTGATTTTTATGTTTGGGTCCATAGTTTGTGCCCTTGTGGCTGTACTTTTATCTCAGGGTTATTGTTCTGAGTATTCTAGCAGCTGGGTGCTAGTTGGGAAATCATTTTTTTTTTTTTCTTTTTTTTGAGACAGGGTCTCACTATGTAGTTGAGACTGATCTGGAACTCACTGTGTAGCCCAGGCTGGTTTTGAACTCACAGCAGTCCTCCTGTCTCAGCCTCCTGAGTGCTGGGGAAATCATTTTTGCTGTCTGGGAACTGATTTTTTTTTGTACTGGGCCTTGAACTTGGGACCTTGTGCTTGTGAGGCAGGCAGCGGAACCACTGAGCTAAGTCCCTGGCCAGGGAACTGCTTTTCATTTCCTGCCTCAGAGTGCAGGTTGGTGCCAGGACCTGGCTGAGTACAGGGCACCATCTGCAGTGGCTCCAGGTGCTCAGAGGTGGGCGGCAGTTGATGGCAGATGATTTGCATCCGGCTGTTTGGATTTGATGAGGAAGCCTTATAGGCATGCTGAGCATTTCAGTCTTATTCCACCTGTGCCTTCCCCACCCAAAGGAGAGGTGAGAGCCTCAGGGAGAGCAAAGTGTGAACCACATAGTGGTGTCCCTGACTGAGGGCTCTTTGGGACAGTGAGATCTCCTGCAGTCAAGGTTGGAATTTTAGTTAACAGGCCAAGCCAGGCATCCTTGTGGAATCCTGGAAAACTGTTAGATAAGTACTAAAAATCAACAATGGTAAGTAAATGCTGAAAATAAACAAAGGTTTGAATTGGTGGAGAGCCTCATCTTTTTACTGAAACTTGAACACTGTAAAACTCCACACAGCAAGGTTACCTCTTAGCTGTGTGGGTTTGGCCCTTTGGGTTTCTCTTTGGAATATGATCTCTCCGTTGAGCTCATCTTAAAGTTCTGTAAACTAATCACTGGGTCTTCCACTGTAGGTCGTCTGTTTTCTGGTCTTTGTAGTTAAGACTTTAATTTAGTCCTACAGTTTTTGGACTTCAAGTGAAAGGTTTCCCAGATGCTCATCTAGGAGGTCAGTCAGTCTGGATGGTCTCTTCCTTAAGGGTAGCTTGCACTGTGCTCTCCAGACTCCTGGCTGAGGAGTGCTTCTGGGATCCTCAGGCTTGCTGCCCAGCTCCGGGCACTCCTGTCTCCAGCTGTGCAATCAGACAGTGGTAGTTGAGTTGATAGTTGGAGCCTGAAGTTCTAGGTGTACATTTATTTAGAAAGTATTTGAAAGCTGCTGATGAAGAAAGGATTCATTGTTTGGATCTTCATTCTGAGGACAGGAGGGAAATGAAAAATTCCCAAATTGATTTTCTCTACAAATAATTATTTTGCCTTGAAAAATTAGTACCATCAAATCTGAAAAGATTTGTTTTGTTTTGTTTTAATGAGCCAAGTGGAGTGTTTCAAAGCAATACTGGTTTTTGTGTCTGAATTAAACCATCAAATAGTTCTGGTAAGCGTGCTTTTCTCAGATTTGTTTGCCCTGCACACTTTGCCTTTTTGAGTTGTTTTCTAAAGTTAATTTCTTTGTAAATGTATATGCTTAATTTTAACAGCAGGCAGAGTGATGTCCTTTGATTTGTGAAGTAGGTAAATATCACTGAATCTTGAAACAGTAGGCAAAGAAACTGAGATTTTTAAAAATGTAAATTGATTTCTCCTTTTTAGCTGATGTAAGCAATGGTACAGTGAAGAAAGAGTCTTCTAATAAAGAAGTAGCAAGAATATGGATAAATGACATGAAAATGAGGAGTTTTTCCCCAACAATGGTGAGTTTCAAACATCTGTGTCTATATATTTGTAGTATGAAAGTATACTTGAAATAGGGCCTAGTGGGAAACTCCTGTAAGACCAGCACTCTGGAGGCTGAGGCAGGAAGGATTGGTGCAAGTTCAAGGCCAGCCTGGGTTACTTCATGAGCTCAAGGTCAGGCTGGACAATATAACAGTGCCTCAAAAAACCAAAAACAAAGCTGGGATGTGGTGGTGCATGACTGTAATCCCAGCACTTAGGAGGATCACCGCATGTTCAAAGCCATCCTGGGCTACATAGTTCAAATCCATCCTGAAATGCATAGTGAGATCCTGTCCCCCAAAAACAGTGTAAAAGTACTCTAGAACAACTCAGAAAACTTTTAAGTAGAGGTAGACTACATAAACGTGGGGAAATTTCATTGAAATAAATTTACATATAAACAGGATGATTAAAACTTTTTTCATGGACTGAAGAATTAATACCATTAAAATGTGCACATACACAAAGTGACCCATAGCTTCAGTGCAATCCACACCCAAATTGCAATGACATTCTTTACAGAAAAAACAAAACTAAAATTCATATAAACCCACAACAGGAACACAAATAGAGAAATCTTGAGCAAGAAGAACAAAACAGGTGACATCATACTGAAAATAGGGGAATAGATGTAACTCTCACACCTGCTAGATATCTGAAACATGAGTTTGGGTTCTCTCAAAGAATGAATTCTAGGAACAATGGAGGTTAAGAATAGGAAGTTTATTGAGAGAAAGAAAGCTTCTGTCTAAGAGAGACCGGTCCTGAAAGCTGGTTGTCCCTGATTAAAACTTTGATATTTAATAATGCTATTACATGTAATATTAATCTTTTTATTAAAAATCTTACATAATCAGGATAAAAGACAATGTAGGGCTAACAAAATCTGTGACAACTATATTTATTTCACGAGTGAACCTGAATATGTATAGCTAGTTAAGACTTGTCAGATCGTATAATGATTGAGTTAAAAGTAACTATGTGATTTTCTGTATTCTTACTAAATTTTGGACATGCATCTACACCTGTAACCCTAGCTCCTGGGAGGCTGAGACAAGAAGAACAAAGTTCAAGGCCAGCTGAGGTTAAATATTGGGTCCTGGCCAGCCTGTGACCCTGTCTCAAAAAGCAAAAATTAAAATTAAGGAAATTTTTTCTTAGAAATGCAGCATGTTTCAGTTTAATTGATTGGAATGTTAACATCACTGTGGATAACATTGGTGCAGTGGGTTTTTATAAGATAAATATTGTGCAATTCCCCTTTCAATAACATCAGCTCTCTCGGCCCACTGGACGAAGCATGAACCCACAGCACCTCATAGAGCATATTGTGAGGCTCACGATACAGGCTGGGGGGTTTGTAGGGTGCAAGACCTCTGCAAGTGTAGGTTTCCTCAGGAAGGTGTGTGTATCTGGGGTTTGACTGGAGAGATGTGGAAAAGGCATCTAAGGAAGGGCTCCAGAGCATTAACAGGCCTGGAGGAGGTGACCACTGTGCTTAGGTAAGATAAGCTGGGGTCCTTGGTTTGCTAGGAGAAGTGGCAGTGGAAGATTCAGGCTCTTGAGCTGAGCTTGAAGGACTTTGGGGGTGGAGTAGCCCCTGAAAAGAGCCAATTACAAGTGGGCAACTTAAGGCCTGCTCTGGATTCAGGGTAGGTAAGAGAGGGGGCTAAGTAATCTAAAAGGGAGGTAAGCAGGGACTGAGCTAGGGGATTGCAGGAGGGGGAAGGTTTTTCTGTCTGTTGTTTGTGGTTCTGGGAATCAAACCCTGGATCTTCGCTGATCTGTGTCCCACAGAGACTCACTAAGTCACTGAGTTGCCCAGGCTGGGCTCAAACATGATCCTTCTGACCTTATCATGTGTGTTGGGATTACCTCACTGCACCCCACTGTACTAGGGGATTTGAAAAGGGCACGGGAAAATGAGAAAGAGAAAGTGGTAGCTGTCTTATCTTAGCAGTGTGAAAAGACTGTGGACCTGGACATGAGGCATGGAATTGGAGGTGGCCCAGTGGCCTGTTCCTGAGGTGCTCAGTGGGCACCAGGAGAACAAATACTGGCAGCATCTAGTTACTCAGTGTTATACACCAGCAGCACTTAGAAGTTGGTTTTCTTAGCTGTGATTTTTCCTCAAGAAGTGTAAACAGATGCATTTTCCTGGCTCCTACAGTGTTTGGAGGCATTTTGAATACTTTGTGGGGACAAGAAATCCTGATTTCCAGGTTCTGTTGATAAATAGGAGGGCCAAGGCTGGGGATTTAGCTCAGTGGTGCCACTGCCTTCCTCACAAGTGCAAGGTCCTGAGTTCATCTCTGGTACCAAAAACAAAACAAAAAACAACAAAAAATTGGAGGGTCTGACAACCCTGGCCTCACACTTCTCAGCTGGTAAACTCATGAACCACATCACTGTTGGCTTGCTCTGCCTCTGCTCCTTGAGCTGAAGCTTCGTGTCAATTGCCAGTTCATATACATCTGGCTTAGAAATACACCCCGTCTGGTCCCTGAATGTTTGACCCTTCAATACTTTCAATTTACCCTTCAGTTATATCCTTAGTGATTTTTCTGAAAATCTAGAAGGTGGGTGTTGGCACATGCTTAATTATCTCAGCTACTTGAGATGCTGAGGCAGGAAGATCACAAATTTGAGTCCGTTTTAGGCAATTGAGTGATGTAGTGAGACCCTGTCTCAAAATTAAAATTAGAGGTCAGGAGTGGTGCTGCATGCCTGTAATCCCTGTATCTGGCCTGAGGCAGGAGGATTGCCATGAGTTCAAGGTCAGTCTGGACTACATATCAAGACAAGACCCTGTCTCTAAAACAAAACAAAACAGAGCCAGACCTGGTGGCGCACGCCTGTAATCCCAGCACTTAGGAGGCTGAGGCAGGAGGACCACTGTGAGTTCAAACCCAGCCTGCGCTAGTAGTGAGTCCCAGGTCAGTCTCAACTACATAGTGAGACCCTGTTTCAAACAAAACAAAAACAAAACAAAAATTTAAAAGTAGTGGGCCAGGATTTAGCTCAGTGGTTCCACCACCTGTCTTGCAAGTGCAAGGACCGGAGTTTGTTCCCCAGTACAAAAAAAAAAAAAAAAAAATTAAAAAATAGTAAAGGGCTAGGGATGTAGCTCAATGTAGAGGCCCGAATTCAACCCTATTATCATCAAAACCAATCAATCAAATGAATTTAAAGCCAAGCCAAATGTAATTTGAGGCCAGCCTTGGGCAGTTTAGTGAGAGCCTGCCTTAAAAAAAAAAATCTAGAGGAAGAAAAGGGAGAAGCTGGGCGTGGTAGCGCATGCACTTGGGAGGCTGAGGCAGGAGGATTGTTGTGAGTTCGAGACCTGCCTGGGCTACATAGTTCCAGGTCAGTCTCAGCTACATAGTGTGACCCTGTCGCAAACCAAAAAAGAAAGAAAAAGAAAAGGGAGAAACAAGGTTTGATAACATAGACTGATTCGTGTATTCTAGTTGAGGTGAAAGTGCAGAGGACTCAGTGTTGAGATAATTTGCCCCAAGGATTCAGAATGAAATAACAGCAAATGGTATCAGATCTATTTCCCTGGCTGGTCCCATTTTGTCTCCATTGTCTAATGTTGGGCTTCATTGTGAGCCTGTTCGGAGTTGGGATTTCACCTCAGGACTCTCAGGCTGTTGTTTGGATGCTCCCATTCTCCTTCCTTCCTTCCCTGTGTGTCAAGCATATTTGTGCTAGCACATTCTGCTCTGGATTTGGGTAAACCCCAGAGAAAGGAGCGTGCTTTACCGTGGAGACTTGGACTGAGCCTTCTTTCTCCTCCTCCCCCTGCCTTGTCTGCTGGGTTTTAAAGCAGCTTCTCTGCCCAGTTCTCTGAACCTGATGGCTTCCTGATCTCTTTACTGGGCATGACGAGGCATGTGTGATTAGGGTCTTCTGCTCTCTCATTCCTCCCACTCCACCTGTAAGGATCCATGGAGAAAGAGGGGAAATGTATTGAGTATGGCGGCCATTCCCTGGGCTTGCCAACAACAGTCCATGTTACCCGTTGTTTTGGTGCAATTATCAGCACTCCATTTTCTGCCGGAGTGCTCAAGTTGAGGGGAAATCTCTTGGCCATTGCTGTGTACTTGTTATGTGGAGATGCGGGAGTGTGAAGTTAGTGTGCTCTGGAAGAACCTTGAATGCCAGTCTCCTGGGCTGTTCTGTGCTTGTAGGGTCTGAGAAAGAAGGCAGGTGGAGGTGAGCTGAAGAGCTGGAGCTGTGTGAGCTGGAGAGAGATCCTGCCACTTTCCTCCCCACTCTGCTTGTTCTTGGAACTGGAAGGAATGGGGAGTTTGGGGAGAGAGTGGACCATAGGGAGGCAGTACTGAAGGGGAGATGGTGGCTGCAGAGGAGTTGCAGCACCCTATGGTGACTGCAGAGGAGTTGCAGCACCCTATGGTGACATTGTATGTAAGGGAGAGTAGGTTGCCATTGGAGAAGCAGGGAAGCCACGAAGTGAGACCTGGGTTGAGAGAACATGCAGGTGGTGCCTTCCAGTCCAAGGTTGGCGGTTCTGGTGCTCCTGCCTGAGAGTTCCCTGTATGTTGGCTGTGCCTCTGGATTCCAGATTAATTGTACATTCTCTGTTACAGAAGGTTCCTGTTGTAAAAGAGGAAGATGAGCCAGAGGAAGAAGATGAAGAAGAAATGGGCCATGCTGAAACCTATGCAGAGTATATGCCAATAAAATGTATGTCTTTGAGCTTTGTCAGAATAACAGAAAGACTTCTGGGTTCCTCTTGAACTTAGATAATTCTCCCTTGTATAGGGACATAACCGGCCCTGTGTACTCCAGCAGTCAACAAGTGGGAAGTTTCGTCTTGTGTTTTAAGCTCTAATGTTTTAATCTTTTGAGACAGGGTCTCACTATGTAGTTGAGACTGGCCTGGAACTCACTATGTAGCCCAGGCTGGTCTCAGAGTGAGCATCCCGCCTCAGCCTCCCGAGTGCTGGGATTACAGGTACGTGCCACCACGCCTGGCTGTAATGTTTTAAAAATACATTAAAGTTTCACTGAAATTTTTTTCTATACAAATTTAGAACTTTTAGATTGAAGTCTTTGAAATAAAGACGAAAGGATTATTATTATTTTCTTTCAAGTTAATTTTGCTTATGTAAGTACTGGTAATAAAATTACTTTAAGCATGATGAATGTAACTGTACTATATACCTAAAATGTACCAGTAAACTCAATGAGAAAAAAAATAAAATTATTTTAAGCAAATTGTAGGTATAAAAATGTATACTTTAAACCTGGCATCGTAGCAACACACCTATGATCCCAACACTTGGGAGGCTATGGTGGGAGGATCACCACTGTGAGTAAAAGACCAGCCTGAACTGCATAGCAGGACCTAGTCTCAAAAAACCAAACAGCAGGGACAGGATTTAACTCAGTGGTGCTGCTACCTGTCTCACAAGTGCAAAGTCCTGAATTCAGTCCCTGGAACCAAAACAAACAAAACAGCAACAAAACAAGTACACAAATGTGTGTTTTAATTTTATATTTATAAATCTTAATGAAAATTATAAAAAAAATTTTTTTTTCGGTCCTGGGGATCGAACCCAGGGCGCTAAGTTGCCCAAGCTAGACTTGAATTTGTGGTCCTCCTGCCCCAGCCTCCCACAGTGCTGGGATTACAGACATGTGCCACCACACCAAGCTAACCATCAGAATCTTTTTTTCTCTTTTGAATCTTATTAATGAATAGTTTAAGCTGTTTGAATTCATTGTTTTTCATTAATATTATTTCTGTCTTTTGTATAAAAGCCATGATTCATGTTTTAGTGGCCACTCTGTGAAATGGAAACTTAATAGTTTATATAGATTTTGTACAGAAACTTATTTTTGCATTATTTATGTAGTGATCAAATCTAAGTCTAGATTATGTCTTATATGTTCAAAAAGTCGCTAATATTTAAAATGAACTAAACTGGGCGTGGTGGCACATGCCTATAATCCCAGCACTTGGGAGGCTGAGGCAGGAGGATGGATGTGAGTTTGAGACCAGCCTGGGCTACATTGTGAGTTCCAGGTCAGTCTCAACTACATAGTGAGAGACCCTGTCTCAAAAAACAAACAAACAAACAAAAAAAAACTAAAATTTTCTGTTTATCAACTTTGTAAAGACTCTCAAGAGTCTATAGTTTTCTTAAATTTAAAATGAGTTTTAGAGAGCTGGGCATGGTGGCGCATGCCTGTAATCCCAGCACTTTAGGAAGGCTGAGGCAGGAGGATCGCTGTGAGTTGGAGACCAGCCTCGGCTACGTAGTTTCCATGTCAGTCTCAACTAAATAGTGAGACTTTATCTCAAAAAACAAAAACAAATAAAATGAGTTTTAGAGGGCTAGGGATGTAGCTCAGTGGTGTTATGACTGCCTCGCAAGTGCGAACTCCTGAGTTTGATCCCTGGTGCTGGGGATGGGGTGGAGGGGTGGGGGATGATGAGTTTTAGAGCCAGGCATGGCAGTGCTCACCTGTAATCTCAGTACTTGGAAAGCTAAGGCAGGAGTATTGCATGAATTTGAGGCCAGCCTCCACTACATAATGAGTTTAAGGCTAGCCTGGACTGTTTCAGAAGAAAGTTTTATTTGTTTATTTATGTATTTTTGGGTACTGGGGATTGAACTTGGGTCCTTGCACTTGTAAGGCAGGCGCTGGAAGCCCTGGGCTAAATCCCCGGCCCTAGAAGAAAATTTTAGAGCCAGATATGATGGCATGTGCTTGTAGTTCTAGTTACTCTGGAGTCAGGGAAGGAAAATTCTAAGTTTCAGTTCAGCCTAGGCAAGAGCCTTAGCAAGAACCACCCCAAAATGCCGATTTAAAGAGTCTGGGGATGTAGCTTGGCTCCTTAAATTCAAGCTCCTATGCTACTAAAAGTAAAAGAAGAAGTTTTAGGATGTGATACCTATTTTGATTTTTTTTTTTTTTTGGTTTTTTGAGACAGGGTCTCACTATGTAGTTGAGACTGATCTGGAACTCACTATGTAGCCCAGCTGGTCTCCAACTCACAGTGATCCTCCTGCCTCAGTCTCCCTAGTGCTGGGATTACAGGCATGCTGGCATGCCTAGCTAGTTTCTTCTTTTTTTTTGGTACCAGGGATGGAACTTGGGTCTTTGCGCTTGCGAGGCAGGCGGTGGCACCACTGAGTTAAATCCCCAGCAAATAACTTGGTTTTTTATTTTATTTTATTTTTGCGGTACCAGGGATTGAACTCAGGACCTTGCACTTGCAAGGCAGATGGTGGCACCACTGAGCTAAATCCCCAGCTCTGTGCTACCTATTTTGTTTTTTTCCTCCTCCCAGTAAGTTTTTACAAAAGAGTTGAGTTTATCTCTGACCCTTTAAACCAGGGAGAGGTCTGGATGTACTACTTGTCTTAGCAAATAAAGCATTATTGAAACATAGGCATACCCATCAGTTTAGTCATTGTTCATGACTGCCTTTACAGTAACAGTGTTAAGTAATTTTGAAATAGACTGGATGAGCTGGGTGTGGTGGCGCACACCTGTAATCCCAGTACTCGGTGTCTGAGGCAGGAGGATCACTGTGAGTTCGAGACCAGCCTGGGCTACATAGTGAGTTCCAGTTCAGTCTCAACTACATAGTGAGACCCTGTCTCAAAAAAAAAACAACAACAACAAAACAAAACAAAAAAAAACAAACAAAAAATGGAAGGGACTGGATGGCCTGTAAAGCTGAAAACAGTTACTGCTTGACTTTTTTGGTGGTGGGGTTGGGGGTGGACCAGTTATTGAACTTGGAACCTTGAGCTTGCAAGACAGGTGGTGGAACCACTGAGCGGGGGCCCCTGCTTGACCTTTTATAGGAAATGTTTGCTAATCACTATTTAAAATTATTCATATTGTATACTTTGGGGAGTTAGTTGCTGTTTAATGTTATCACCATGGCTTTCTTTAAAAGTGAAATTATATTGTGAACTTTTGTGGAGCAAAATGAATGACTCCTTTAAGGAAAACTTCTTTAATCTGAGACAGCGGGTTATGTTTTTCATTTCGGGGAAACCTTATTTATGAATTTAGTGTTTTTATTTATTACTTTTTTTTTTCTTTTTTTTTTTTTTTTTAAATCAGGTCTCTTTGTTTTCTACTCAGGGCTCCCAATTGGTAGGATCTTGTGATCCTCCATGGTGCTTGGCTAGGTCTGTTATTTTATTTTATTTTTTTATTTTTATTTATTATTTTGGTACCAGGGATCAAACTGGACCTTGTGTTTGTGAGGCAGGCAGTGGCACCCCTGAGCTAAATTCCCGGCCTAGGCCTGTGATTTTAAACTCATTGTTTTTATCAGCAAGTTTTTGTATGAGCTGAATGTAGTTGTTAAATCATTTTAGTCAAATTTATGGAGTACTTTATAGTCAATAAGGATTTTTTTTTGTGGTGCTAGGGATTGAACCTAGGGCTGTGCACATGGTAGGCAAGTAAGTGTTCTCTCACTGTTGCATCCGCAGGCCCATATGGAAGCTCAGAGTGAATAGTTACTCAAATGTTTTCTGTGTTGTAGGAAAACTCCTGCAGTGTCTTATAATTAAACTGGAAATGTTCCTAGAATGAAATAAATGAAGTATTTTAAAAATTTTTGTTTAGTAAAAATTGGCCTGCGTCATCCAGATGCTGTAGTGGAAACTAGCTCTTTATCCAGTGTCACTCCTCCTGATGTTTGGTATAAAACGTCCATCTCTGAAGAGACCATTGACAGTGGCTGGTTATCAGCATTGCAACTTGAGGCAATTACATATGCAGCCCAGGTAAGCAACGTGCATAAATTGTGCAGTAGTTATTGTTTTATGTTCTTCTGTACAGCGTAGTTTTTTTTTCCCTTCCCCTGGTATCGGGATCAAACTTAGGACCTTGTGCTTATTTTTTGTACCAGGGATGGAATTCGGGACCTTGCGAGGCAGGCACAGTGCCACTTAGCTAATCCCCAGCTGTACAATGTAGTTTTAATTCAAAGGAGAAGGAAGTTTCCTTGCATGGCAAACTTGTCGAATGTGGTTTTTATAGAAGTTTTATGTGTTACAAAATGGGATGATATGTGAGATAGGCAGAATGTCTTTGCTGTGGAAATGATGAATGCTGTAGCTTTTTTGGTTTTTGAGATAGGGTCTCACTGTATAGTTGAGACTAACCTGGAACTCACAACGATCTTCCTGCCTCAGCCTCCGAGTGCTGGGATTACAGTCATGCACCACTATACCTGGCCTGCTGTAGCATTTTTGCACTGGAAATACCTATAAATTTTAAAATGCAGTGATACCTGTCTACCTAAGCTCACAACAATTTAATCATGAATATCTCTGTACCTATCAGCAGCTGACTGGATAAAAAAAATATGGCATATGTACACAGGGAAGTACTATTCTGTAAAGAAGGATAAAGTTGAGTCATTTGAAGGAAAATGGATCTTTCTGGATCCATCACAGTGGATCTGTCACAGTGCTAAGTTAAATAAATGAAACACAGGAGAGGTTAAGTACTGTGTAGTTTCTCTTACATGAGAAACCCAAAATGTAAATAATTTGAAGAGTAAAATCAAAGATGATAGAGAACAAAATTAAAAACGTATTTACCTTTTGACCTAACAGTTCCACTACTGGGACTCTCTTCCTTTGATAAAAATATACATGTAGGGATCTCTTCTTCCCCCCATTGGAATGATTTCACTGTCTGCAGTGTTGGGCATGATTGAATAAACTGGCATTACCATGCTTTGTAGGGTTTTGTGGAGGCTTTAAAAATTACACGAGCTGGCTGGGCGTGGTGGCACATGCCTGTAATTCCAGCACTCCGGAGGCTGAGGCAGGAGGATCACTGTGAGTTCAAGACCAGCCTGGGCTACGTAGTGAGTTCCAGGTCAGTCTCAACTACATAGTGAGACACTGTCTCAAAAAAAAAACAAAAAACAAAAGCAAAAAATTACATGAGCTGGAATTAACAGCAATTTTCTTGCATTGGATTTTGATCATATTCCATTTGTAAAATAGGTAATGATCCAAATAGCCAGTTATTTCCCATAGTTAACTTAATAAATATATAGGTTGGTACTTGATTGTGCTAGTGTTGAAAGGTGTGGAAGGCTTCCCACCAGTTGGTCAATTTCATGATATAGCCAGGTGTAGTGGTGCACGCCTGCAATCCCAGCACTTGGGAGGTTGAGGCAGGAGGATTGCCGTGAGTTTGAGGCCAGCCCAGGCTACATAGAGGGACATTGTATTAAAAAAAAACTTGGTGCATGGGACAGTAGCAGGAAAGAGTATATAGAATGTATCCACACTAACTACAGGGAAAACCTTATGCCATATATGTAACAAAAGGTGAGTAGTATATTCCTGTATCTATTATGAAAGATTAATCGAAATATATGAAGGATTAGTTACTAGACTTCTCTTTTTCAGCAACATGAAACATTCCTACCTAATGGAGATCGTGCTGGCTTCTTAATTGGTGATGGTGCTGGTGTAGGGAAAGGCAGGACAATAGCAGGAATCATCTATGAAAATTATTTGTTGAGTAGGAAGAGAGCATTGTGGTAAGTGTTGGGACTGGCTGTGGAAGGCTTCATTTGTGAACAGTTTGGCATGTGGGAATGGATTTAAAAGACCTGGCATTATTCCTGAATTCTATTAGTAATGTAACTTGGTTTAATTTGTTTTTCTTTTTTCTTCTCTTGTTTTAATGACAGGTTCAGTGTTTCCAATGACTTAAAGTATGATGCTGAAAGAGATTTGAGGGATATTGGAGCAAAAAACATTTTGGTCCACTCATTAAATAAGGTATGAAAACTCCTGTTCACTTGGTCCTTCAGTAAATACTGAACTCATCTGAGATGGGAGTAATAGTTTCTACTCTGTAAGGTTGTTAGGATTAAATGTGTTATTCCAAAAAATGCCTGGCAAGCGCAGCCAGTTCCATTGGTTCATGTATTACCCTGTGCCAAGTACCATGCCAGGCAGTGATTGTGTAGTAGCAGGCAAAATAGACACTATTTTGGAATATGGAATATGCTGTCTTTAGTTATTCTGTCCTAGTTTCTGAAGTAATTTTATATTGTCGTTGGGGTGCTTGTCACTGCAGGGTGTCAAATCCTGTGTAGTCCATTGAGGAACTTGAGATTAGAGGCTGGTTTCAGTATCCGTCTTGTTAGTGGACTTAACTGCAATGTACCTGTGTTCATGGGAAACAGTTCATAAGAAGGAAATGGGTTTTGGTGTCTCAAACAGTTTAACGTGATTACTGTTTTTTTTTGTTTGTTTGTTTGTTTGTTTTTTTGGTACTGGGGATTGAACTTGGGTCCTTGGGCTTGCAAGGCAGGCCACCGAACCGCTGAGCTAAATCCCTGGCCCCAGTTTAATGTGATTAGAATCTTGATGGTCATTTAGAAAATCTTCATTGACACCCTGTGTTGACTATAAAGGTAAAATAGACAAAACATGGTTCCTATAAGTGCCTTCCTGCTAGTCCTTGGAGAGAAGTAAATACAAATCTACTTTCCACGTGAGTCCTGAGTTGGTTCATTGTCTTACTGAGTGGATTGGTATCTTAAAGCATTGTGTTGAGTGATATAGGTATGAACAATTTGAAACTGAAACCATGCGGGTAGGACTGTAATTGTTTCTTATTTTTGAGAAGTGCAATCAAAGGAGGTATATACATTAACTAATATTCTTTCAGAACTTAATGGGACTGCTATAGTAAGTGCATAGTAAATATTTGTGGAGTAAATTATGTGATTTCTTCCCATAGAGGAGTTTATTTATTTATTTTAATGAGAGACCCCCCCCCCCGGGGGATTGAACTCAGGACTTTGCACTTGCCAGACAGGCGTGGCACCACTGACTTACATCTCCAGCCTGTGATAGACTTTCTTGACATTTTGAAAACTGAATCCTTACACCATAATATATATGTGTGTGTGTGCACATGTGCGTGCATACACACGTTTGTACATGTGTTACTGTACAAGAAATTTGTGTTGTCTCTTAAAAAGCGTTTTGACTTTTTTGAGCCTCTCATCAGCCTATCAGGTTAAGAGGAACTTCGGGTCAGATAAATGTTTCCTAGGCTAATTAAAGTCTTTTCTGTTTTTAGTTCAAATACGGAAAAATTTCTTCCAAACATAATGGGAGTGTGAAAAAGGGTGTTATTTTTGCTACGTATTCCTCCCTTATTGGTGAAAGCCAGTCTGGTGGTAAATATAAAACTAGGTTGAAACAACTTCTGCATTGGTGTGGTGACGACTTCGATGGAGTGGTATCCTTTATGACAGCTGTGTTTATATCTTTTAATGGCACAGAAGTATAAAATGACAGAGTTTTGGCAAAGGGGAATCCTGAGGTTAGATAAATAGATTGTTGGGGTGAGAGTTTTACTGTTTAGATTTCCAGGGCTTAGAACATTGATCTGTTCTGTCAGATAGACCAGTTTAGGAAAGAAGAATGCTTAATACACTGTCACTTACGTGAGCATTCACATTAAATGGTAAGGAACCCGAGGTACAAAGAGACAGGAGTGTTCATTTTGTGATTCCGAAATGTGTTGCTCACTTGCTCACAGTTTATCGTATATTGTCCTGTGTGAAGCACACCACGTTGTCAAATGCTGGTTAAGTTGGTTCCCATTCACATTTCCACTGGTATGGACGGATTTTCAGCAGTATAATCTGTGGAGGACAGTTCTTGCTGCAGAGGGTCCTTTGCTACATTCTAGTTAGAAATTAAATACCTGGCTAAGATAAATATGGTACCTGTCAGTGTCTGCCTCAAAGGCTGGGGCAGGGAGTTGATATGTGGGAGAGGCATATGGATGGCATCTTTTATGTGTGTAAAGGAAAAGCCACCTGACGCTTTGAGGAAATAAAGTAAACGCTTCCTAAAAATTGGTAGACGTTTACTATAAGATGGTATATTCCTTAACTTAGTCCTTACAGATAGTGTTTGATGAGTGTCATAAAGCAAAAAACTTATGTCCTGTTGGTTCTTCAAAACCCACCAAGACAGGCTTAGCAGTTTTGGAGCTTCAGAACAAATTGCCAAAGGCCAGAGTTGTTTATGCGAGTGCCACTGGTGAGTATTATTTAATTTAAAAAGTATATATAAATTCTCTTTGCAGCAATAACATATTTGGGGATTTTCCAGGTGCTTCGGAACCACGCAACATGGCCTATATGAACCGCCTTGGAATCTGGGGTGAGGGGACTCCATTTAGAGAATTCAGTGATTTTATTCAAGCGGTGGAGCGCAGGTAATGCAGCCTGTGGTGTATGCTATTTTTGGCAGCACTTGGACAGATGTGTTACTGCTAAACCTGTCACTGTATGTTAAAGTCCTACCTTTCTTTTTTTTTTTTGTACTGGGGATTGAACTCAGGTCCTTATGCTTGTGAGGCAGGTGGTGGAACCACTGAGCTAAATCCCCTGGCCCTATATTTCTTGATAATTACTGTGTGTTTTAATTTTCTTCAGAGGTGTCGGTGCCATGGAAATAGTTGCTATGGATATGAAGCTTAGAGGAATGTACATTGCCCGACAGCTAAGTTTTACTGGAGTGACCTTCAAAATTGAGGAAGTTCTTCTTTCTCAGAACTATGTTAAAATGTATAACAAAGCAGTGAAGCTGGTGAGAAGTATTTAATTCCTAACTTTTTTTTTTTTTTTTGGTTTTTTGAGTCAGGTTCTCACTATGTTGTTGAGACTGACCTGGAATTCACTATGTAGCCCAGGCTGGTCTCGAACTCATGGTGATCTTCCTCCCTCAGCCTCCGGAGTGCTGGGATTACAGGCATGTGCCACCACACCTGGCTAATTCCTAACATTTGTAATGTACTGATAATTTTTTTTTCTCATGGTACAGGGGATAAGACTCAGGACCTTGTGTGACACTTGCAACATAGCATAGTGCCACAGTTCTAAATTCCTGGCCTGCACTGATAATCCTTGTTGGTTTTGCCATTGTAATGTCTGTTGGCCCACAGAAACGCATTTCTGCTATGAAATAACAGGGACATTGCCACACAATAGACCATCAACCAATATCGTTTTTTTTCCATAGTCTGCAGTTATCAGTTTGTAAAAGTGATCCATCAAAAAAATAGCTATTTACTTGAGTGATGTACTTCTCAAAATAGTGTATGAAAGTATATTTTCTAAAATGGGTGCCGTATGTACTAAGAATTTTTTGTTGTTGTAATTGTTTTGGTACAGGGAATCAAACTCAGGACCTTACACTTGCTAGGCAGGTGCAATACCACTGAGCTAAATTCCCAGCTATTTTTATTGAAAGTCATTTTAAAATAACTTTATTCATAGATGAAGCATGTGAAATGTTGACTTTATGTCTCCAGTGGGTCATCGCCAGAGAGCGGTTTCAGCAGGCTGCAGACCTGATTGATGCTGAGCAGCGAATGAAGAAGTCCATGTGGGGTCAGTTTTGGTCTGCACACCAGAGGTTTTTTAAGTACCTGTGCATAGCATCCAAAGTTAAGAGGGTTGTGCAGCTGGCCCGGGAAGAAATCAAGAATGGGAAAGTAAGTTGTAGAACACATTCAGAGATTCTTTTTGGTTATGTTGTTTTTGTGGGTGTGAGGTTTTACATTTATAGAGTGAAGCTTTTCTAAAAGATAGTTATTGTATTTAAAAAAATTTTTTTTTTTTTAATTTATTGGTACATTCTAGGTAGACAGTACAGTTACATTCATTACTGGGATCTTGTACCTTTACATGGCAGGTCTTGGTTCTCATTTTTTCCCCTTGTCCCCACCCTCCCTTCATCTTCCCCTCCACTCCCCCCCTTCAAACACTTTAATTCCATTTTTACGTTTTCTCATATTTTTTTCCTTTTCCCTTATTCATGTTTTTAAAAATTTTACAAGCAGTACCTGTTTAGATACTTTAGCTAGTTCAAAGTATAACAAAATATATATCACTCGAATTTGGCCATTACCACGGATGACTGTGGATCCACTAATTAGTATTTCCTGAAGCCAGCCTCCCTCTTCCCTTTTGAGATTGAACCCTGGGACTCTTCTCCTGCTGACCTACAGCCCAGCCCTTTTTTTTTTTTGGTACTGGGGATCGAACTTGAGAGTCCAGTCCTTTTAAAAATTGGAGATTGAACCCAAGGCCTTTGCACTTAGCTATTTCCTCAGGACTTTTTTAGTGTTTATGACATAGGGTCTTACTAAGTTGTCCAGGCCAGGCTGAAACTTGAGTCTGTTTGGTTTTTTGAGACAGGTCTTACTTTGTGGTTCAGTCTGGCCTTGAACTCACTGTATAGCCTAGGGTGGCCTCAGATTCCAGAGTGCTGGGATTACAGATGTGTGCTACCACACCTGACCACAAACTTGAGATCTTGCCTTAGCTTCCCGTAGTGCTAGAATTATAAGTGTGCATCCTTACCCAGCTTTTTTTTTTGTCCAGTCCTGGGGATTGAACTCTGGACCTTGCACTTGGCAACAGAGGCACAGTGCCACTGAGCTACATCCCCAGCCGTGATTTTTTTCTTTTTGATAACCATCTATTTAAAACAGAAGGGACTGTAAATCCCATAAAGGCCAGGGGCTCGTGATACAGCACAGTGGTGCCATGCCTGCCTGGCAAGCATAGGTCCTGATTTCGATTCCTGGTACCAAAAAAAAAAAATCCCATAAGGGCAGGGGCATTAGCTGTGATCACTATTGTGTTCTGTCTTCTTTTGGAGCCTTTGTTTTGTTTTGTTTTGTTACCAGGGATTGAACTCGGGACCTTGTGCTTATGAAGCAGGTTGTGGAACCACTGAGCTAAATCCCTGGCTGATAGGGTTATTCTTTAAAGTCTTTATTTTTACCAAGTATTTAAAATGTCTTAAGATCGTTATACACATTATAGTCAATAATATATTAACTACTGTTTCTAACTTTATTTTGAAATTTTGTTTTTTACAGTATTTTCATAGTTTATTAATAGATGTATTTGCTAAAGTCAAAAAGGTTAAAAAAATTGCCTAACAAGTATATTTTTATTTATAACTACCTTACTTTCTTTTTTCCAGTGTGTTGTAATTGGTCTGCAGTCTACAGGAGAAGCTAGAACATTAGAAGCATTGGAAGAGGGTGGAGGAGAATTGAATGATTTTGTTTCAACTGCCAAGTAATGTTTTTATGTTATTTCTGAGTTTTATACTTAACATTAGTTCAGATGGTAGCATTTCTTTGACACAATTTTGATTACTTGTGTGTCATCTTTAAGTTTTCCTCATTTGAGTGTTTTGCCATTCTGTGCCTCTCTATGTTACAGTATATCCATTAGAAGACAGTCATAGAGATGTCATAATCCTAAAATATATTACACATTTTGTCAGTATTTGTTACAATGTGTGGATTAACAGAAGGACTTGATTCTTTCCTTAAACATCTTGGAAATCTGTGGCAGTGTGGTTTAGTTTTAGTTTCAGATTAGTTCATTTGTAATTACCATTGTTTCTAGAGAAGCGGTATCTAGTTTGCCCTGATAGCATAAAATCTGCTGTCAAAATTGGAAATTAGCAAGTGATCTTCCAGAGTTGTTAAAAATGTTATCTGACAGTAAAGTAAGCAACCTAGTTCCTGCCACTATAGTTCTCTTCCCTTTGAGGCTATTTTTAAGTGCTGCTTTGAAGGTAGATATAAATGAAAATTACTTTTGTTTTTGTTTTGGTTCTTTGAGACAGGGACTCACTATGTAGCCCAGGCTGACCTTAAACTCACTATGTAGTGGCTAGCCTTGAACTCAAGGTGACCTTCCTGCCTCAGCCTCCCAAGTGCTGGGGTCACAGGTGTGCGCCACCATGCCCAGTTTAAGAACTACTTTCAAGAGCAGAACTTGCTGCATTTCTCTGTAGTTTAACTCCCTCAAGTACCACTCATTGTGTGCTTACTGATCGGGTGAAATGAGTAATCTAGGTTTAGTTATAAGTGTAGAATACAGAACAGATTTGAAAGATTCCTTAAGAAAAAAATGATGTAAAATACCTTATTCATCACAGTAGAATAGTATGTTGAGTTAAAGTGTATTATTAAAATAGGTGCTGGGCGTGGTTGCAGATGCCTGTTATCCCAACATTCACGAAACCGAGGTAGGAAGATTGCTGGGAGTTTGAGGCTAGCCTGGACTATGCAGCAAGTCTCTTAATGTAGAAGTTGCTACAAGTTGCTATAGTTTCACCAGTTTCCTTATTATTCTCCCCCCCAAATAGTGAATTTTCTTTTGGGTCTTTATTTTTTTAATAAGACAAGGTGGTTTTGGCTGTTGCCCAACTCAAACCCTGGCTCATGTAATCGTCCTATCTCAGCTTCCCAAGTAGCTGAGACTATAGATATGTGCCACTATACTTACTACATTTTTTGTTCGTTTTTTGAGGTAGTATCTTAATTATTCAGGTCAGGCTGGCCTGGAACTTGTGGTGCTCCACTTGCCTCAGCCTCCCAAGTGCTAGTAGGATTTTGGGTGTGCACCACCATACTCATCCTACTATTCCTTTTTTTTTTTTTTTTTTTTTTTTTTTTTGG